AATTGTAATTAAATTGTAACATTTAAAATAAATATGGCCGAAAATGACCATAAAAGAGAGAGAGAGAGAGAGAGAGAGAGAGAGAGAAATTTATTTGTTATATCGATTGAAAGTTAAATATAAACCAAATATTGTAAAATAAATTTCAAAGTAAAAGTTATTTCTAAAAATATATTTCGTAACCTTTTTTCTTCAAAAGTTAAAAATAAATAAAATTTTAGTCAAATTTAATAATACTTTATAATAAATGTATTAAAGTATACTTTCTTCATATCCTGATAGAAATATAAAACACAATTAATAAATTAAATACATATTTCTATTTAAATGCATAAAAGTTACAAGTTATATATAGCAACAATTGATATGTAAGCATCTTTTTGTTGTGAACCAATAGATGAGAAAATTAAATTTTTTAAATTTCATTTCATTGTAAACATAATCCCACAGAAAATAAAAAGTTTTGTTAAAAACTTTATAAAAAAGTTAATACAAAAATAAAATCAAATTAAATGAATTATAATAATGAGAGAAGAGTTTTAACGCCAGACAACAGAGATCTGAGATCAGGAAAACAGATATTAAGTGTACTTTAAGTCTAGAGTTAAGATTTTGACGACATTATAACCACAGTATATATCATGAACTGAAAGAAGGTTTTAATTTACACTAATATCAAAAGAAGAAGAGATATATTGGGAAATAATAATAGATCTGTAGATGTATTTGAATTTTATTTACTAAATAAAACTACTCTTTAAACATAGGAATTAAGTTCACAGCTATTGAAACAAATGTCTATGAGATTGGATGGCAATGAACTCCAAGCAAGTGATCCAAAAGTGGGTCAAAAAGTTGTTGAGTGAAAATTTTTGCTCAATATTTCTGTTTCAATTGCTTTTAAAGCATATAAAAATGTTTTGTTATTTCATTATTATCTATAGTCTAATGTTTTTAAAAAATATATATAAATAATCGCATTAAAAATGTTTACCAAAAATGCTTAATATTTGATTAATTTTGTTAATCGGACTAAATTATAGTTTGTAATCACTTCTATATTTAAATCAATTCTTATGATTTTTAATCATTTATGAGATTTCATTTTCTTTTTGTTATAACTTATATTATTTTTAATCAAAAAACAAATGTTTAAAAAGTCTATAATCAATCAAATATAGTTATAACAAAATTAATAAACAAATATAAATAAAAAGCAATGATTTATTAATTTCAATGAGAAAAACCTTTAAAACTTTTTAATATCTCCAGAACTGAGACTTTATTGGATTTAAAATTTTAATTTTACAGGAAATTTAATCGGAAAAACTTCTATTAAAAAAATATTTCGACTAAAATTTGCAAAATTTTGTATGTTTTGCAAGCATTTGATTTCAAATTGAAAATTGGTTTTACATATGTTTTTACCTTTAATTTATTTCAAACAATATTTCTTATCAAATGTATAGCAAATTCGTAGCGCAAAAAACAGGATTTTTGATTATAATTGCAATAATCGATACAAATATTTTGAATCAATTAAAAAATTGCGAACAGATTTTTATTTGTTTCGTAAAAATACATATTATTGTCGTTTTAAGCGCAAAATTATTCAAATAAACGAAACAAAAAATAAGTTAAAGCTTTGCATTCGTTGCCAACTGACAGATGGTTTGGGCTTTTGCTAGAACTTTGTCAGATTCTCTCTCTCTCTCTCTCTCTCTCGTAATACATTTCGTGATATATCAAGCGAATATCGCGTTATTATTATCTCTTATTCATTAACTTTATCTATGAATGTAATGATAATTAACGTATTGTTTCCCCAATTCATACATAACTTATTCCTATATTTCGTGTAATTTCACATTTAAAGCAGAACTCGATATTAAACTCGATTTGCATTTATTTTTGATACAAATATGTTTATAAGAAAACTTATGTAAATGTCAGACAATTGAAAAGTACTTAAACTTTCCTTTCTTATAATACAATTGCCTTAATTTTGAGACCATATTTCCGTCAAAAGTTATATAACAAGTTATTCAATACCGACAACTCTTTATATAAGCATAAAATTATATAAAAGTAACTTTATTTTTGAAAACATTGAATAAAAGAATTTAATTTAACAAAAAACATGATTTTTCAGGCCTAATGGAAAATAAATGATAAAAACAACAATACATATAAAAACTTACGTATATTTAAATTAAGATCAGGAAAAGAGATAATTATTATTATATTTTTTATAAGAACTAACGAATTAAGGCTTTGAGAAAAAGACTAAAATCTTTGAGTTGTAAGCAATCATTTGTTTCAATCAACTTGTTTTTTCGCTGCTATTATTCCCAAACAATTTTATACTAATCTTTTATTTCCTATAAATTTTTTGCTTATTTTTTATTTATAAATATTTCATAATCAGATAATTAGTTTGAAAATGTTTTAACACGCATTGCATTCAACGTTTTCTTTTGGGTTTTTAGTGCAAATTAAAAGCAATTATATTTTAAAATTAGTTTTTTTGTTTTCAGGTAACTTATGCCTTACTTAAACTTTTTACGTATTGTTTAGTTAATGCAAACGATTAAAAATTAAATTTACATATATTGTCTAATTACAGGACTTGTATTGTTATTAAAATATTTCAATCTAAGGCATTTCAATGTAATTACTAATTAGCAATCAATAGTTTGTGTTGTTTTGTTTGCAATTTAATTGCACTTCATTTGCGGTATATTTTGTCATTATGTATCCAAATCTTACACGTTATTCAATGCACTTTATTATACATTTCATAACTAATAGTTTTATATTTGCATTAAAGTTGCGTAACATTCAGAATGTGATTCGTTTAACGAAAGGCAATTTGGAGGCACTGAACGCGCGGTTCGCTCACCACCAGCACCCGCCTCCCATCTATGTCGCCGAATACGAAGAGTTGACCACCAAATTGAATCACTTCCAGTGCATCGAAGAGAAATTACACGATCTAATGGCCAGAGATAGGTCGGTAGAGTTGGGCGCTTACTTAGATCTGGTGAACACGACGTCATCGGGTTCTCTGTGTTCCTCTCATTCGTCCGGTTCGTGGAGTTCCAGCGAACCGAAGACACCGCGAACTCCGCTCAAGACGTTGAGAGCTCACCTCCCGAACCAACAGAAGAGCACAGTTCACATCAGCGCCGGACAGACGGTTCGGGAGGCGCTCTTCAAAACGATGAGACGCCGCAAATTCGCCGCCGAAACCTGCGATGCCTTTCTCTACCACAATAGGTATGAGCTTTTGCTTTAATACCCGTTTCACTGTTATGTTTGTCTATAATTTTGTGTTACGAATGTATTGTTAGACAACCCATCGATTGGGACACAGATGTAGAATCGCTCGAAGGTTATGAGGTTTTAGTCGAAACCCGAGAACTGATACCAATAATTTCGCACAATTATGTAATTATAATTTTTATTTATTTAACGCATGAATTGTATGCCATTTAACGTGATTTGTAATGAATAACTGTGTAATTGTTACCCAAATAATAGGCCCGCAAAACATTCTTCACATTAGCCTTCTGTGAGTGTTGTCACAAACTTCTGTTTCACGGCTTGCGGTGTCAGACGTGTGGCGTTCGGTTCCATCAGCGATGCATCGAAGCCGTGCCCTCAATGTGCCAACCATTGCATCCATTGCCCATTCAATCCGACGATTACAGACACCTATTGGCGAACGACAGTCAGTGTTCGCATCTGTCGTCGTCGCCATCAAAGCATCTTCAGGTGCCCTCCAATACACCATTCGGACAAAGAGAGAGATCAACATCTGCTCCCAATGTCGCCTACAATATGGTCGCCAATAAAGATCTTATCAATATTGACGAAATCTCTACTGCTAAGATCCGTACGTTATTTAATTTAATTGCTCTCTCTCTCTCTCTCTCTGCTATTACACGAAACCAAATATAACGTCCAAATGAAAACCAAAATGACATCGAGGGTAATGAACTAAAAGCACAGTTCACTTTCTATCGGCAAATAATTGCCAGAATATTCGTTAATAATTGAAATTTTATTTTCCTTCACATGCTATATAACTATTACACGTAAGGCATGCGATTGTGTGCCTATTTTGAAGTGCATTTGTGTCAGGATCTGACAAATACTAAATATATTTATTTTCAAATGTAATAAATACTATTAATTTCTATCGTATACTTTAATATCAACTAATGTTTACCCCAAAAAATTTTGTATATTATATAATATCCAATAGAATTAGCGATAAAAGTACATATCATAACATTTCTTACTAAATAATAACGCTTTTATGACAAAAATGTGTATTTTTAGATACATTTGCGAGAAAACAACTATTATTCTGTGTTTAATCCCATTGTGTGCTGTGTTTTGAGGGCGTATTTCTTGGAATCTGATAATATGTATATAATATTCTGTATATTCCGAGAGAGAGAGAGAGAGAGAGAGAGAGCAGAATAAAATGGTAATAATTTTTGTGTCGTCTCTTTCACTACAAATGCAAACCATATTATATAATAGATGTCATAATCACGCGATATATTAAAAACTGTTTTTTCCATCAATAATGAGAAGTATGTCTCTTCTCTCTCGTTATAAGCGATCGATTTCTATGCAATTATTGTATATAACATACATATCCAGTGACTCTATTTTTATATATCAAATATTAAACAAATGACTTATATTTAAAATTCGTGATAATCATAATGAATGCAAAAATGACGAGAGAGAGAGAGAGAGAGAGAGAGAGAGAGAGAGCAAAGAATTTTAGCAAAAATATTACTTCTAACTCGTGTTTTAATTTGATATAAAAATAATCAATATTTTTGTGTATAGAATATATTCAAACATTTTCTTTTCAAATTATATACACATAACATAGGATTCATTATTAGAGAGAGAGAGAGAGAGCACAAGTAAATATCTAAAATTAAAATTGATGTCTTAATAGACAGCGTATGTATGTATAAAACGCTGTGCAAAAATAAATCGCCCAAAATATGTATATATTCTTACTATATATAAGCAAAAGAATAATTTTTAATGAAATATTAATTCAAATACAAAAAAATATTCATATAATTTAGGCAAATGTTTGAAATTTTTGTATTTATTCTTGAGTCCAAATTTGATTATATAATAGAGTACTGACTTTATTATGGGTTCAGAATTATATACAAAGTACTTCAAGATATTGTAATTTATTTCCTTCTCTCTCTCTCTCTCTCTCTCTCTCTCTCTCTCTCTGACATAACATTACAAGACCTGTCGGCTCACTTGTGCTGATCATGGTTTACATATTAAATAGAAATTTATGGCATAAAATATATGTATAATAATAATAATATATTTACGCGAAGAAAAATGTAATCCAATATTTTTATCAACATTTTTATTTCCATTTCACTTAACATTTATTGATTTGCATTATTCTTATTCTTCTCCCAAAACTATTTCATGTGTTTGTTTGCAAAATATATATATTTAAAGCTTTTTCTCTCCACAGAAATCAATAAAACAATAAATATCAGTGAAAACGGATAAATGATTTTTCTATTATGTCTTCTCTATGCTTAACAGTGTTATTATGTGTTCAATGAATCGCTAAATAATAATAACTATTAATTAATGGTTAAAATACGAAAATATATTAAGTATTTTAAAATTACTAATAATTGAGGACAAAATGTACGTTACTTTACATACAAATGACATAACGGTTTGCGAGACAATTATATCCGGCAATTATTTATGAGCTATAATTATAAATAATGATTTGTTATGAGGGCTAAGAATATCAAAATATATATACATTAAAAATATACCCAAAGATTAATCTAAAGGCAAGAGTCGGGGAAACAGATCATAAGTTATGCCATTAAATACAAATACAAAATGCATGTCTACTTCAAAATGCTTAATGTATTTTACATGTATTCATAAATATCATGGTTTATTTAGTGATGGAGTTTATACAACGAAAATAAAATATAATTAACAAAACAAAATCAATATTATTTATATAATAAGTAAAGCATTGACTTTTAGGTGACAAAAACCAGCCTTAAAGTCACTATAAAAGTTACTTAAAAATAGCTAAAAAGGTGCTTAAAAGGTGCTAAAAAGGTGATAAAAAGTTATGAAAAAGTTAGTTATTTTGCATCAAAATAATTCATTCAAAGATCAATAACATTTGTTTTTGAATTCAATTGTATCACAAAGTATA